TAGATTCACTCTTTAATTTACCTTTATTTGGCACAATTAAAATGTTTCTATAGCTAGATCTGAATTATTTTATATAATATATCATTAGGTTTCGTTAAGATAGTAATAAATAAATAAATGTAGTTTTTCATTCTGAATATTCTCTTATATTCCAGGTGTAACATTAAGTAAGGAAAATGGCAGCATTTGGTTGTATAATCGTTCAATGTTACCAATATTTGTAAATTCTCCAACCTTAAGCGAAAATTGGCATTGTGTTTGTAAAATATTGCCTGGGTACTGCCTTAAAGCCTTCGACAGTGAAAGGTATGTGCATTGTGTTCTCAAATCTGATTGAAAATAAAATGTTTTAACTATAAATTATTTGTATTTCAGGGCTCAAACACTTAAATATCCCTCGCATTTTCCTGGTGCTCAATTAGGACCTAAGGATCCATACGGTATGCAAATAAGTTTTGGCAAAGGTTGGGGTGATAAATACAAACGTCAGGATGTAACAAACTGCCCATGTTGGTTCGAGGTATTATTACCAACGCAACGGTGACAAAAACTAATTAACATGAATGGAGGCCAGAATAAATGTGGCAAGGATACTGAAACTCAAATAGCAATTGATAATGTCTGTGATGATAATTGTATGTACAAGTTAAGTACGCTTGAGCATAGCTACGCAACCCAGTGGAGTGCTGCTGACTCCAATTGTCTAACTAATGTTAATGTGAAAGAAGATAGACGATATAAATGTACAACATCAACAACCAATATAAGCATTGGACAATTTAATGAAATTAGGGAATATAGAAATAGTCAGGAAAGAACTGAGAAGAATGAGGAAGAAAATGTTTTTAATTACTTGCCTGTATTCGATGATTTATGGAAAAGTGTAAATTATTATTATAAGAAAGACAGGCATCGACAAGCCATAAGAAAAATTCATAACACATTCGTCAAATTAATCAAAATATGTTGGAGGTCGTCGGAACAACAATATGATAGCAACAATATCCACAGTAACAACAACAAAAACACAAATTTTAAACACAAAGACTTAAAACTGCATAAACAAAAATAGTAAATTGCCTTGCAAATATGAATGATTTGCGATTAATTAAACGGGAAGCAGCATCGAAAATAAATTAATTTTAAACGAAAACCTGTGATCGAACATAGAGTTTAAGTATAGTTTGTATGCTAATAGTTTTTATTTTATTTTTTTATTTTATTGTATTTTTTATTTATTATTATGTTTTTTTTTTTTTGTTTGTTAACAAAAGGAGAAATTGAGCTTATGATATACACATTCAACAAAACACACAAAACAAAAAACACAGAAGATATATTTTGTAGGTACAGTGAACGATAATATGATTAAATATGGTTAAGGTGAAAGAAAATACTGCTGGACAGAAGTTTATTTAAAGCTTTAACTGAGTGCAAATTAATTGAATAATATTGTAAAACAGAAATGTATAAAATTTAAATTTGAAATGTCTACTTGGAGATATATGTATATATTTATTTATCTATCTATATATGTATCTATTCAACTGAACTGTTAACAATTTTTTATGTTGTGTTAATACAGAGTTATCCCGTTTAAGGCTTCAAAACTAAACGTAAATGAAATATACTTGTGATGAAGATCTTAAATTTTTATAATAATATATTGTTGAGATCTTGCCATTAGGTGTGAAACACAACATCATTAAAATGCCCCCTCGGGAGATATTGTACTAACAAATACTTTTAAAGTAATTTTTCAAGACTTGTCGGCATATAGCTAGCAATATCTTAACCGAACTGATGTTTAATTGCAGAACTTCGAGGATTGTTCACATAAACACTATTATTTGAGTAACAGAAAAATAATGCCTAGTGATGACTGAATGCATAAGTAAAACTAAACATATATTATACGTTTATGTTGACATATATCATTATAACAAATGAAGACCACGAAATAGGAAAACCCTTTAATAAGGCTTAATTAGTTTGCATATACCTATCGAACGTATATAGCAGAACATAGAAGTAATTTGTTAGAACAGACTACATATAAAGCAAAACAGCAAAAAAGCGCAAACATACGATTTCAATCCGATCACCAAATACTTCGCACACAAATAAATGCAATAGCATTCCTTAATGGTTGTACTGTAAACAAACGTCAAGCAATAAAATTCAATTGGTTTTCACCAAACCAAAAGACGCTATAGCAGTTCAGGATATATAATTAAATCTTCCCCTTTAGTTTTCTTATTGATACTAATTCTCAATTACTATTATTTTTGTATGGACATAAAAATAATTTATAAAATTTTTTTTAATAATTTTTGAAAGGTGTTATATACATATATATATATAACTTTATCCTTTGGCTAGTAAAACAATCAAAATTCAATATTGCTGAGCTATAAAATTGTTAAAAGAGTTATAAATTTTTCTGTCTCATCAAAGTTGTTTTTACTCGTATATTTTTATCTATATTTTATTAATATTAATAAATACGAAATTAATTAACTTTCTTGAATTTTTTTTAATATTATTTTTTTTTTTTTTTGGAAATGTTCAAAAGTTGAAATTTTCCAATTTCTGATTTGAAAAACTTATCAAAAATCTCTATTAGCAAATTTAATTAAATTTTTAATATATTAAAAATTGTTTTAATTATTAATAAGTTTTTCTACTCAGATTTTTTTAACTTATCTTTTGTTTTCTTTAATTATTTAGACGACAGTAAAACTGAAGCTAAAAGAAATATATTAAGTAATATTCAATTAATTTATAATGTAGATAAAAATAATTTTTTTTTGCAGAAAAGTTTATAACAACTATATTTTAAAAATTTTCATATAATTGTATTAATGTAGTAATATTGGAAGAAGTTACTATATGCGTTTTTCTAAATTTTTAAACGTTTCATTAGTGCTAATGTCAATATAGAAGCCCTCAAAGTTACCTAAATATTCGTATTACTCCACCCTTTTTAAGTAATCTAATTTGCAATAAAATAATTCTACTTTAGTCGAAAGAAATATTGCTAAAAGTAATAATTTTTCTATTTGAAGAGAAATATCTTCAAGATATAAAATAGTCTTAAGATATAAAATTGTTAATTGAAAAAATGTTATTAAATATTGTATATCTCCAAGTATAAAAAATACATTTCACTATTTTCAATAAAACAAATTGAAATGATAAATTATATTACATTAATAATAAACACAAACAAAACTTAAATGGAACATTTAAAAATTATAAACCACCACAAAAGACCAAAATAAAAAAATGCATTTATATTTATTTTTTAATACTATTTATTTTGTTTATTTTTAAAACTTAGTAATTTTTTTTATGTAATCCAAAGAAATAAGTGCTTAGTTGTAAAAAATAATTATTTTATTTAATATTAAATAAAAATTAGTTTTTTTTCATAAGTGCAGTACAAATTGTATAAATTAAAAAATTGTGAAGGAAAATAGTAACAAAATTGTAAACACATTTTTATTTTTGATATTTTTATTTTTATAAAAATCAAAATATTTTATTTTTTATTAAAAAAATATATACTTTATATAATTTTTATAAAAAAAAATATATTTTTGTATTAATTTAAAAAAAAATATATTTTTTTAATTTTATAAAAAATATATATTTTACATAATTTTTATATAAAAAAATATTTTATATTATTTTTATAAAAAAAATAATTTTATATTATTTTTATAAAAAAAATATATTGTATTATTTTTAAAAAAAAATATTATTTTATATTATTTATATAAAAAAAATATTTTATATTATTTATATAAAAAAAATATTTAATATTATTTTTATAGAAAAAATATTTTATATTATTTTTATAGAAAAAATATTTTATATTATTTTTATAAAAAAAAAATTTTATATTATTTCTATAAAAAAAAATATTTTATTGTTATAAAAAACCATTTTATTTTTATAAAAAAAAATATTTTATTTTAAAACAGTTTATTTGTTGAGAACTGAACGCGTTGTAAAATGATCATATTTCGAACATTTTGTAATTTTATGTTTATATGTATCGTTTACCGTTTGATATTAGTTAATCATTAACTTTTATAAACCTTTGTCACATTTACCTTTTCTACTCTTTTACTTTTTAATTTTTTTTTAATCTTAATTATTATTATTCCTACTAATCAAATCAAATCTTATGTTCATAAGTCATTAATTCTATAACTTCGATATTAACCGATCCAGTAAACTGGACACATACGTTATATTCATATTTAATTCTAATATTTTTATTTTCTTTAAAACTTTATTTAAATAACAATCTTAATTATTACTCGTAGTAATAAATAATAA